GAGAGAGAGAGAGAGAGAGAGAGAGAGAGAGAGAGAGAGTTAGTTAGTTAGTTATAGTATGGTTTGGCATTACTTAGAAGACTCTCACACAGTCCTTTCTATATGCATATTTGACAGAATTTTGTTTGTTTTCTTCAAGTTCACATGAGAAAAGCCAAGATACCAAGCCAGAAAACATACCCCAAGAGAATAATATAGATTATTCATGAATGCTATGAAACATTCTGACACTCTGGTCTGTTATGCTATAGCAATTAGAAGAGGCTCCTTAGTTCTTAAAGAAAATATTGTGACCCCAATCCTTTGTGAATTGATCTATGAATAAAAACCTGGCATTCAATTCAATATTTATGAGTGACAAAATAATTCAATGGTTGATGCTTAGCATCATAAATAAATTCAAAGGAAGAGAATATGATGAAACTGCAAATTTCTCAGATTTAAAAAAAAAAGTATTGGTTTTAGAGCTGTGCCATCCATTACAACACTAATAAGGACACTTAGATAAATCAACAGAAACAACTCTAAAATATTAGTTCAATTTATTCATGTATCATTCTTCTTGTGCTAACTTTATCTGATCCTGTGCTGTGCAGACTCAAATTTAAGTAATAATTTTAAAACTCATTGTTCTTTTAGATTTAGAAAAATATAGCAGGGATTACCAAAAAAAAAAAGAGAGAAGGAAGAAAACTTATGATCACACAAAAAACTTTACATAAATGTTCGTAGCAGTTAAAGTCTGATGGCAAACTAAATGTCCCTTAGTTAGTAAACTGTGGTATGTCCATATTGTAGAGGTCTAATTTTGTGACAAAGAGGAATGACTGATTCATATATAAAGTGATTTGTATTCAGGGAATCATGCTGAATGATAAAAGCCAATCCTGTCAAGGCATATGATATTGTTGCATTTCTATAGAATTCTTGAAATGACATGATTTTAGAAATCCAGTACAGATAAGATGCCAGTATGAGTTGAGGTTTTGCAGCTAGAGAGGTGAGCCAAGATTGACAGAAAAGATTCCTGAGGTGATGGAATTTTTCTTTATAGTAAGCACATCAATGTCAATTCCTGTCTGTGATTTTTGTATTAGAATTTTTCAAAATGTTGCTTTGGAAGAGATTTGAATGAGCACAGGCCGTTCCCCTGCATCAACTCTTAAACAACTGCATATGAATCTATAGTTATCTCAAAATAAGAAATGTAATGAAAAAGTAATGTGATTAGTTCATAACCATAGCTAATATCTCCAATTACAATATGAAAACCTAAAAATTAATCAACTCTTTAGAATTAAAATGTATGCTCTTTTTAAGCTTTGCACTGTCCAACCAAAGTTTCTGACATTTACAAGACAAATATTCACTCACAAGTGTTGGTAAGTAGCTACATAATTAAGACTATTTCATATTTAGTTTCTAACATTATATTTCTTTTGTTAGAGAAGTGTCAAATACACGTGAGTAAGTTGAAATGAAAAAAATCAGTCATTCTGCCTCATGTTCAGCAGGCCCAAGAGTAGAGTGGTTTTATGAAAATGGAAATTTTGTGTTTAAACACTGCTTCTGACCTTTTCATAGGTTTCCTGTTCATTTTGTCTTTCACATCATTCTAACATTCTGAAGTGCAAAGTACTTGCTCCAAAGAAAAAGCTTCGTAGTTGGAATTGTTAAACAAGAGTTCAAGTTCCAGCACCATCTTAATAATTACATAATACATAGCCAGCCATTTTTCTACTTTGAACAGATTTCCTTAGCCATGAGGAAACATACCTACTTCTGTAAGTACCTTTTAGGTTTATTAGGAAAACACATGGAAATACTGCAAATAAAACAACTGAGCTCAGTTGATAAGTGGTCATTTTATCAATCATTAATACAGCCATTCAACAGATAGTCCATATTTGACATATGGGCTAGCCATATATCAAAAGACAAACATTTTAGCTCCCCTGTAAGTTACCTCATAGTGGGAAAGATTGGTAATAAAAGTATAAAATAGGTAAATAAATTAATTAATATCTGGTATGTATTTTTTTTTAACAAGTTAATGGGAAAAAAGGAATTGTGTTAGCTAGCGATGTCAATGGAATCTCTGGTTTCAGTTCTCTTCCTCTAGTCCTTTAAATTCTCTTTCATTTGCTCATCCATTAAAGGTCAGTATCATTACTCATTCTTAAACAAGTAGCATTTCAATCTATTATCAGACATTCACATCTCACTGACAATAAATAACAGATATTTAATGGCTCCTTTTCAGTGTCTGTTTGAGTTGCAGAATAAATATAAAATGATGCATGTTTTCTCAGCTATTTATATACTGAAAATTCTATTTGAAAACATAAATGCCATGGGTTAAATATGCTAGGATCATTTTTATAGATGTTTCTTTTATTTGACATCCTTACCAGAAGTTCTTCAGAAGATTAAGATCCCCAAAGATGATTTTCCTGGTGGGAGAAAAACACAAAAAGCAGAGAAAATGAGCATTAGATCAGATGATATTTAGGAGGTTTCAGTTTTCAAAATTAGATTCCTTTGTTTTTCCTAAGCTAAAATATATGTATTCAGTATTTAATAGAATACTTTAACATCTATTGCAACACTATTACAATAGGCTTATTACAAAGTTAAGAGGGGGAAAAAAGAATAGCACATGGGGTGAAAATCCTCAGAGAATTTTTACTCCTCTAACACAAATTATTTAATTTTATTGGTCTCAGATTTTCTTTTATAAAACCATGGAATCTGCCTAAATAGAGCTAAATCATATCTATAATTCTAATTCTACTTAAGGTAAATTTTAAGCAGTAAGTTTAACCAGTAATTTTAACAAGTTTCTAAAAAAATGTAAACATGTTAATTTTGTGATGCCAACTAAATACACACGCAAAAAGTATCATGTTGTGTTTCATGTAACTTGCATTTAAATTTGAATTTGAAGCTATCAAGCAATTTTCAACTATTTAATTTCAATAAAGAGAAGAATATATTTTCCTTACGCTTATTATTCTGAACAATGCAAACCTGAGACAAAACAGCAGAATGGAAACTTTAATTTGTCCTAAAGTGATTTAAATACCTTTAAAAGAATCTTTTGCTCATAGAAAATATTTCTCCAAAATTACTTTTTTCTAGCCTTACCATGTTTTTTTCTACTAGCGTAGTTTAATTTAAATTTGGATCACCAACTTAGAATTGCGCAAAAGCCATAGATTTCCAAAATCAGAAAGCTGCTGCGAATGACTTTCAATAAGAGAAGAAAAACAAATGAATTACAGCCAGCATTAGACTCTGGAATTGGAATCACAAGCACTCTGAGAAATATTTATGGTATGTGGCCCAACGTCCTGCTGCTCGGGTCCATTAACATTGCAGACCCTGCTGAATTATGAAAATGCTCCTAAGGTCTAACATTTTCACAAAAAAGATGCTTGAAACCAAATCCTCCAAATACTCCCTTGATAAATAAAAGGTTATATAAGACTCAATATTTATATTGTAGTCTTAAGAAAACTCTCAGATATGCAGATATATTTCACATGTTAAATGCAGTGAAATGTCTGGTATTAAAATGAATGAGCAGAGTAACTGAAAACTCCATCACATGGATCTGATTTTAAATTCCATCACCAACAGAAAATGACTCGGGTATTCCCAAAATAATAAAGTCCAGAGTTCTTGTGTGAGGCTCAAGAATGCAGAACTGGGGCCGCTGAAAGTTATAGGAAGGTTGATTCCTGCCGAAGTCTGGCTGGGTGCGAATCACGAAGCAGTCAAGAGGAACAAACTTTATTTCTGAACTCCACCAGCACACTCCACACACGCTCCCCAGGAACTCTCCCGAATGCCATGCGGCTCCTCCCGGAACCACCAACCGGAAAATCCCTCCTCTGGCACTTCCCCAACCAATGGGAACTCTTCAGGAATTCCCCCGAGAGCTCAACTCAAGGGGATCTCTGAGAGAACCCAAAGTCATCATCTTAATGGCTCGCTGGTGTCACCTCTCAACCACTACTTCTGGCAAAAATGTCATGCGTCATCCCGATTCAGCTGTGGCCCTCAACAGATTCCATTTTAATATAGAAGAAACACTACATCATGAGATAGTGCCCAGTAACTAAAGATATTTAAAGAGACACTAGATGGCCTCTCTCAGACCATTCCGGAAAAGGATTATGGGACTACAGGGTCTCTCTGCTTCCTTCTAATACCCCAAGTTGTATAAATTTGTTTCAGTAAAGCTCTTAGTGCCCCTGCAAGAAAATCTGAAATGCAAACAAGTTTGTGCTACCCTTTAAATATCAAGTCTGGGATACTCTTGGCTACCCTCTTTCCCAAGAGCTTATGAGTACCCTATAGATCCTGGCTTACTTATTTCCCTCTCTAAAATTTTCCCAACTTTTTCCTTACCCCAAGGCTGGGTTCAGTTGGGTCTCTGTAACATAGGCCTTTACCCTATGGAGCCACAGTTCATACCATATTGAAACTATTGCCCATGCCTACAAGCTCCCATAGGCAGTAATTACTAATTTTATTTTTTCAAAGTTACAATTTTGAAGATAACAATTTTTCACAATGTAAAGTCAAAAATATGAAAGGATGGATAACTTCATTTTTTTAAATGACACACGAATACCTATAAGTTTGACATATTAGGTATACCATGTAATGTACAATAATACAATTCATTGCATGTTTAAATTTGGTTAAACATATTTCTATCTTCAAACGTTTATAATTTCTTTATAAAAACTTTCAAAATCATTTCTTTAAGCTTTGTGAAATGTAGAGTATGCAATTTTTATCTGTAGTCACCATGATGTGCCCCAGATCTTCTTATTCATACCAACTATAACTTTCTACCCAATGATTGACCATTCCCTATTCCTCCCCTCCCCTACCTACTGTCTCTGGCCTCTGTCAATCACCATTCCTCACTTAATTTCTTTGAGATCAATTTGGTAGATTCCATATATGAATGAGATGTTCTGTACTTGCCATTTTGTTCTTGTCTTATTTAATGTACGATCTCCATTTCCAACCATTTTGTCACCAAGGACAGGATTTCAATCTTTTTTAAATCTAAAGAGTATTCCACTGTGTATATTACATTTTTTTAAATCTATTCAACAATTGTTGGACACTTAGTTTATTTCCATATCCTGGCTACTTTGCATAGTGCCATGCTAAGCAGAGCAGCACAGCTTTCAACAGCCTCATTTCATTTCCTGTGGGACTATACCTCACAGTGGGATTACTGGGTCATGTGCTAGCTCTACTTCTAATTTTCTGAGAAACCAAAATACTGTTTGTTCTCCATAGTGCATGCACTAACTTATATTCCCATCAATAGCATTCTTCACATCCTTATCAGAGTATTTATCTTTAGCCTTTTTGATAGTAGCCATTCTTTTTGAGGTTAGATGATATCTCTTTATGATTTGGGTTCACATTTTTCTGATGGCTAGTCCTGTTGAGAATTTTTTCACATATCTGTCCATGGTCATTCGGGGACTTTCTTTTGAAAACTATCTAATTAAAACTAATGTCCTTTTTAAATGGAGTTATGTGGGCATTTTTTTTCCCTATTGAATTTTTGGATTTTTCTATATATTCTGAGATCAAACGATTATCAAATCCCATTTTGTTGGTGGTCTTTGCATTTTATTGTTTCCCTTAATTTGCAGAAGCTCTCTAAGTTTTTATGTTTTATACCCCATTTGTCTATTTTTGACTTGTTTTCTGTGTTTTGAGGTCTTATCCAAAAACAATGTACAGAAAAAATCCCCCATTTTTACTTTAGTTTCAGTTTTAAATCTTATATTTAAGTTTTAATCTCTTTTGAGTAGTCCTTTGGGAAGGGGAGAGATGAGGGCTGAGTTTTATTCTTCTGTGTGTGCACATTCAGTTTTCCCAGCATCATTTATGGAAAAGACTCCTCTATCTCCAGTGTGTTATCAGCACTTTTGTCATAAATCTGGTGGATGTGGAAATGTGGGTTTACCTCTAGGTCCTCTATTCTGTTCCAATGGTCTGTGTGTCTGTATTTCTGCCAAGACTGTGCTGTATTGACTATTATAGCTTTGTAGTATGTTTACAAATCAGGCAGCATATGCCTCATACTTTATTCTTTTTACTCAAAATGGCTCTGTATATTTGGGTGATTTTGTCTTATGAATTTTGAATTTTTTTTTCTAGTTCTGGGAAGGATAACATTGGTACTTTGATAGTTATTGCATTGGATCTGTAAATTGCTTCGGGTAGTGTGGACATTTTAAAAATATTGATTCTTCCAATACATGAACAAAGATCTCTTTCCAACTTTATGTCTTTTTTTTTTTCAATTACTTCACTCAATGTTTTATTGTTTTCTTTGCAGAGATCTTTTACCTCTTTGGTGAAGTTTATTCCCAGGTGTATTTTGGTGCTTTTTGTAGTTACAATAAATAGGATTGTTTTCTTGATTTCTTTTTTAGATAATTTATTTTTGCAAGTTGATTTTGTATGCTACAACTTTGCAGCCTCCAATTACAGAATACAGATAAGATACTGCGGTGGGTGGAGGGGGTGTTGAATGTAATTTAGAAAACACTTTGATTCAAAGGTTAAGCAAATTTTATTTATGAAGAACATCACAGAGCTATGAAAGTATTTTATAATCTGTGTGCTACTATCATTAAGAGGCTAAGAGGATGTCCAATTTCTTAACACTTTTTGACCTTATATTCATTTTTTTTGAAGCATCATAGAAGACTTGAGTTCCTTGCTAATTTCTTTAGAAAACACTTGTTTATTTTATTTAGATGTTCTCTGGATAGTTCCTGGCAAAGAATAAGCATTCAAGAAAAATTAATTACATTAGTTATTAAAGTTTAAACTAAGTGGTCTTCAATTTTTTTAACAAATGTTGCTATATCCCACACCAAATTTTTATTTAGATTACAAAAATTTAAATCATCTTTTTAAAATTTTTATTACTAGCATACTTTTAGTGATATATTTGGTCATTTAAATTCTGTGAGAATAATTTAAGGCTGGAGAAATCATAGAAACATGATATATTATGTTCTGTTATACAACATAAGCTTTTTAAAAATTAATTTAATTTATAGCTGAATGCTTCTAATTACTGTGTAATGATTGAAGCTCTTCCTTTCCACACAGCCAGAAAGAGCTTACATCTTATTCTACCCAATACTTCACAGACATTAGCTTTGGATTTATCCTCTCTGGGCTAAACCTCTTAGTTTCCTTGTTCTTGTTGCTGTGTGGTTTCCAGATTTCCAGGTTGACAGCAATCTTGTTTCATAGTCTCAGTTTCTTGATTATAGTGTTCCCTCCCTGAGCACATTGAAATCCAGGTAAGAAAGAATCTTAATATTTTAGAGAGATGCTAGAGTTCCATCCTGTGATCTTTATTCTACTCAGGTTACTCCTGTTGCCCAGA